CAGTCAGTGTGTCTGTACTGTATTAACCCCTCTCTCTCAGTGCAGTGTTAATGTACTGGAGTGTCCAGTCAGTGTGTCTGTACTGTATTAACCCCCTTCTCTCTCTCAGGACTCAGTGTGAGGAGGTGGAGCTCTCCCCTCTCAGTGTGAACGTGGGGACGGAGAGAGTGGGGGCCGACTGCTTCGAGCTGCTGCGAGTGCTGGGCAAGGGGGGTTATGGCAAGGTGAGGGAGACACCTGTCAGGGGGAGAAGGCCGAGCTGTGTGTGCTGTGAGTGAAGGGTATGAACTCCATGACTGTGCAGGGCGAGGGGTGTGTGTCCCTTCACTGTGCTCGGTCCTACTGTTGTCCTGTGTGATGTTAATGTGCTGTATTGTGAAGATTGTGAAGACCAGAAGCCATATCACTCTGCAGCTCACAACTGGCAGCCCACTGAAGCTCAGCAGGCGTGAGCCTGCTCAGTACCTGGATGGGAGACCTCCTGGGAAAAACTAAGGTTGCTGCTGAAAGAGGTGTTAGTGGGGCCAGCAGGGGGCGCTCACCCTGTGGTCTGTGTGAGCCCCAGTATAGTGAGGGGGACACTGTACTGTAAACAGGCGCCGTCCTTCGGATGAGACGTAAAACCGAGGTCCTGACTCTCTGTGGTCATTAAAAATCCCAGGCCGTTTCTGGTAAAGAGTAGGGGTGTAACCCCGGCGTCCTGGCCAAGTTTTCTGTTGGCCCTTACCAATCATGGCCTCCTAAAAATCCCCCTCTATGAATTGGCTTCATCACTCTGTTCTCCTCCCCACTGAGAGCTGGTGTGTGGTGAGTCTTCTGGCGCACTATGGCTGCCGTCGCATCATCCAGGTGGGGGCTGCACATTGGTGGTGGTGGAGGGGAGTCCCCATGTAAAGCGCTTTGAGTGGAATGTCCAGAAAAAAAGCTATATAAGTGTAAGCAATTATAAGATGGGTGTAAGACCTTGTTAATATTGTAATATCCTTTTGTATAATAATTACATGAAAACACAAGACGGATCAGAAATGAGAGGAGGCCATTCAGCCCGTCTAGCCTGTTTGGTAGTTAGTAGTTAATTGGTCCCAGGATCTCATCCATGTTTGTAGGAAGAAGCCAGAGTATCAGAACGTTCCACGCTCCCACCACCCTTTGTGTAAAACAGTGCCTCCTGTTCTCAGTTATAGATACTCTTCTCTGTAGGGCTAGTCTCTGGTCACCATACTGGGGCCTTGGTAAGAAAATAGTGGGGTTTGGAGGGAAGAGCACCCCCCTCTGGTCCACCCAGATGTGAGGTGAGACCAGCATGTGACAGAATCTGGCAGCAGGAAAAAGCTGAAACAGATCACGGTGCTGAGCTGTGGGATCTGATCCTTGCCCTCCACTGGGCATGGACACTGACGCCTGCTCTCTGCTGTGTGGCTCTCAGGTGTTCCAGGTGCGAAAAGTTCAGGGGCTCCACAGCGGGAAGATATTTGCCATGAAGGTTCTGAGAAAGGTATCCATTTATTT